AAATGACATGATAGGATGCAAAAATGCAGAGCCAAGTAATGGTGGTGAGGGCTTTAAGTAATCATCTTCTATGAACTTTTTTTTGGAGTGTAACGAGTAAGAACAATCTTATTTAGAATGCAGAATAAAATGTTTCCTTCTTTATACACATGAATCATACAGTATTTCTTTCAGCACACTGTTACCATTTGAACCAAGTGACCAAACAGCCATAATTTTCATGAATTACCGGAATGTGTAACCAACACATACACAGAAGAAAAAACAGTCAATGGTAGAGATTATGGCCAGTTTGAAATATATACTGCCCAAAGTAATGTCTATGGGTTTTAAGATCTTATGTCATACCAAATGGATCCTGTTGAGAGCTTCTTTCTAAATTTGTGAAATTACCTGTACAACAAACCTTTCACGTTGTGTATGGTCAAGTATAATTTTAATTACACGCAAGGATAAGGACAAGTATGTCAAGTATATCCTTAACCATCTAAAGCGTTATATATCAGTATATCGTTCCATATACTTAGTGTGTACTGCCTCATTATACCACCTTATATTCGACATGTCATACAATGCAATTTGCCAAATACATTGTCATAAGTAACTTCTTTGGGTATAAAGATTATATCATACCAAATATGTCCAGTTCAGAGCTTCTTTCTAGGTGTGTTAAATTACTTGTACAATTAACCTTACATTTTGTGTTACGAAAGTATAATTTCCAGTACACACTTGGATAAGAAGGAGAGATATGCTGAAACGTATATAATCCTTATACAACAAAATCATTATACACCAGTATATTGTGTCGTCCACATATGTATTAAACTTAAATAGAATTTATTATTTGCAAAAGCCAACTGTGTGAGAGTAAACACAAAATCGAGTACTGAAGAAAGGCGTACGAACCACCATTGGAAAAATATTACCAAGAACCATGCGACGTCATAGATGGTTGAATAATACCTCATGGTGAAGCCCGAAGAATTTCAACAACTTGTTAAATATTACAAAGGACAAATTACGGACAGTGCCTTACTAAACAAAGCGGGTCGTGTTGCTCCCAAAGAGCATATTATTGTAAACAATCCAAAGGTGCCGGATGCTATAGCGAATCAACAGACTAAGGAATTGTTACAAGAACGTAGATAATTGAGGAAACGATCAAGAGATATTCCAAGTGTACCCACGGCCAGTTTGGCAGATGCAGAGTCTGAAGAAAGTGCCATGACAGAAGAAATTGTGAAAAAATTTACTCAAACGCGCGGCAAAGAAACAGAAGAAGAAACTGCAAGATTAGATTGCGCCCCTCAAGACACCGAAGAGGAAATTCCCACACCTGGAACCCCTAAAATACCAGCGTGCATGAAGAAACGAGCAAAGAAATAAGGGTTGGTCACGGGCATGGTTCTTCACTCTTTATCCAAAGGATCTGTGATTTCCTCCAGGACGTTTTGTTTCATAACTTCGTAGTTCAAGTACCAACTTCCACGATAATTCAGAGTAAATCGACGTACTTTACAGCAAGACTTGCCTTGTTTGGTGAGATATCCGTAATTTTTGGCACTGCCCAATACAAACTCAGTTATGCAATCATCCTCGTTCAATTTACTGGTCATATCGCCAAGATAATCGCCAAATGTGGTTGTTGTTTGGCCGGGTTTACATGAGAAGATGACAGAAGGGATCTAGATAACGGTATAATTTCAAGCGGGCTTGAGTGGTCATAAAGGCGGCGATGAAAGTATTTGTTTACTTACCTTTCGAAGCGTCTTCGTCTACGTAGCTAAACACCACTTCTACGACATCTTCTGAAAAGATGCGAATCACATGAATGACCACCAATGAATTATTTAAATATTCAAACAATTCGTAAGGCGCTGTGACTGATTCCACCACATGTTCATTGAGACATTCTCCAAATTAACCCCAGAATGAGTTCAACATGGGTTTGGCTAATGAACGTTTGGCTGCATTCTTCACAATTTTTCCTGGTTCCATTTGGATACCTTCATGCACTTCATAGTGGTTAATTTAACTCTGCAATTCTTCCAGGGTGCGTACATGGGATGGCCGCCTGCTTGATTTTTGTTTCGTTTTCAGCCATGTATCCACATACCCAGTAAACAATCCTTCGACACGCTGGTCTTTGGGAAAATGCCAGATTTCATGAATTTTCACAATTCGGTACCCTTTTTACACGGCTCTACTGATTTCAAGTGTACACCACGTACTGCAGATGAGGCGTTCTTGATGGGTGTGAGTACAGGTCCATCGGCGATCGAGCATCAGTTCTGCTTGTTGTTGTTCCACACAGGTACAGCAAAACGGAAAAGTCAATTTTCCTCCACTTTGAGAGGATAAGACAACATTGAAGAATTCTTCTGGTGGTACAATATCCACTTTGGCGATGCCATAATAATCTGATAGATCAGTGGTCTAAGGACTTGTTAAAATCTGTGGATGTCCCAGGAGATAAGTTCTGTATTTTTTCACCCACGGATATTCAGAAGTGACATCGATGTAATGTACTTTTTCTCCTTGGGCTTCATTGGTCTTGTGGTACTTCCACCGTAAAATGCATGACGCAGATCTAGGGGTTCAATTTCCAAGGTGTGAAGAAACTGTATCAATCGTGGGTCTTGGTTGGAGAGGTCATTCCAAATACATTCCCACATTTTCACCTTGGTGAAACCCATCGAGTGTAACAAAGTGGTTTTGGCACAGGTCACGTCATACACTTCTCCCATGGAATAGTCTAGCTGCACTTTAGGGAACTAATCTGCGGTTTAGATGGCAGTAAGGACAACCATGCCATACACAGCCAAGATATCCGTACACAGTCTGGGTCACAGGGTCAAAACCATCCGGGTAACACACACGTGTGGGTGTCACGATCGTGTGTTCCCCGTGATTCCCTGCATGGTGTCACGCAATCTTCCCTTCTGGTGGGTAAACCACTGTCGCATTCTTCTTCTTGAAGTGTATGTTCCATCCATTTCAACCATTTTGAGAGCTTTCGACAATTAATTATTACGAACACCACGCCATCCACCTGCTGATTCCACAGCAATACAATCAGCACTCAGATGAGGTCTTTGCCAATACAATTTACAAGCTCTTGCAATCATGATACACTGCTCCATAAGATCAAATTGCGCCACTTGAGAAAATTCTTCTCGAAATTTTTTGCAACCCGCTTTTAATAATTTGACATTAGAAATGTAGTACTCTTCGTCGCACCTGGTCTTGATACCAACTTAGAAATTTTTGACGTTTGTCATGATTCATACCGTCAGGATCGTAAGTGTTGCTGGGTGGGATCGGTCCGACATAAGATTGGTTCTCGGGTGTGTTGAACAGATGTGGAAAAAATCCTTTTTTGAGGTCTACCAATTCAAAGCTCTAGGAAATGAAGCTAATGAAAAAGGTAGAAAACAAAAAGAGTCCTTGAAGGTGATAGGGCCAGTCGTGATGGACTTTGATGCCGACACAGACTTGATTTTCCACCAGATGATGTTGATTGTACAGTTCTTTTTGAATAAACATACTGTCATAACCTTACAGGTTGTGAAACATGACAATGGCAGGTCGTTCGAATTCGTCTTCATTGATAGCCAATTAATCTGGAAATGCTAGAAAGTCTTGAGAACAATGTTCGCCGTAAATACATGTGTATGGTCCTCCTGATCGGTTTTGCAACATACCATAATAGGTCAATGTGCACCATCAGCTAATTGCATCGCTTCGTAATCAGCATAGACAAAGATGGGTGGATCTTTGAATTAACAAATAGAAAAGCCTTGACTGTGCTCTGTTCTGTTATAAAGCACGCAGGAAGCGGCTAGAGCACGAGAGAAGTGTAGGGAGAACACACGAGACGTAGTCTTGTGTTTCTCCTCCTTCTTGATTAAATCCATTAAATTCCCTGAGCATTACTTTCAATTTTAAAAACAAATTTTATTCCCAAAGCGAACAACAGTGTCGTCAGCAGCTCTACACTCTCATAAAGCACGCTTCAATAAGCCAATGAGAATCCCTGTTAGAATGGTTCAAATAATCTGATTGGCTGTACAAGACTAAAGCTGTTAAAAGTGTCAAACCATCAAAGTTCACATTCTGCGATAGTTTACAAACTAAAATAGTTCGGCAGGTCGAACTTAACACCTTCGCCTGAAGTTTTTAAGTCTCTAATACAAAATCTTGAAGTGCAGTGACTGATGTGACTTTCCTCTCGATGCATCGGAAAGGATATCAGAGCAAGCTCTTATTTTTTTTACTCGAAGGGCAGCCGATGTGGTTTCTGAGGCTTGCTTTACTGTGATGACCGGAGATCGCCATGATAAGCGAGCCGCAATGGACTTCAGCATGATCATATTCGCGCAGACACTGTGATGATTAGAATGAATTTTAACAGTTATGCCAGTTTGGTTATGTTTTTCATCATTTCTGTTTTGTTCAGTTTTGTATTTGAACACTGAACTTTATATACTATACGAGTGTTAGCTGTATTTGATTTTTATTACTGTACATAAGCTTCCAATCTAACTACGCATGAAAATCTTTAAAACTCGGAATGTCTATTTTGTTTTTCCTTTGAGGATTTTCGTATCTGCTCACGTTTCAATAACGTAAATTACGGCACCTGGTAAGTTTAAAAACCTTTGTTTGGTTCTTCCGTTGCTACTTGCCGGCTTGCTTGTTCCGAAATTTTACTTTCAATTATCGGAGAAAAGCTAAAAAGAAGTCCCGGAAAAGGTGGAACATAGTACAATTTGGCAGATGGCGTGACATACTCTCATAGAACACGCTCTTTCAACCAATGACAGCGCATGTTATATCCAAACTTTATTATAAATCTAATTCATCAAGGTCTATCGCTGACATAGGGATGCCTTGACGCTGTAATCGTTTGATGCGAGCATTTCGTTCTTCTTTAGAGTGTCGAGGTCATTCCTCTCCTTTGGTAGGTTGAATGAAACATTTGTAGGTTCTAATATCTACGTCTTCTTGGCATACGGGACATTGAGTGACAACGCATTTGTGTTTTTTTCCTCCTTTGTTTTTCTTCTTTCAGGGGTGTTCAAGCCATTCGGTACATTTGGTGAAAATGTCACACACGGTTTTCTTGTCTTTGTTGGATGACTTTTTGTATTGTCAATAAGAATCTGCTCTGGAGAAGTCACGAGGACATTTATCACACCTGAGTTCTGGTGATTTGTGGCATGCATAATCCGGACAATCTTTTTGATGACAGGCAGTACATTTTCGGCCTTGACAGGGATGACGTGCCAAGTCGTTATGATCAAATCCTTTTTCATAATCAAAACAGAAATAGGATTTGTTTAAAAATCTTCCATACGAAGTACAGCCATGATAATTCTGATCGATTTGAATGAGTAGAATTTTCTTGTCCTCTGTTGGTGTTCATGTGTGGTTTATCTACAGTTAAGACAACAATCTGGCACTCGGGACTCAAAGCTTTCTGAAACATTTCCAATTCTTGTAGTCCACACAGTCCTTCGGGAACACCAGCCAAACGATGGAGTTCTTGCTTGAACACCTTGCACAGGATAACCATCACGCAAATTTTCATACAGGTGTCTTCCATCCACATTGTTACTTTAATGCAAACGTGCTCTCATTGTGACGATTGCTTGCGCGCGGCATAATTGGTCTGTATTCTTGATTTCTATGACACTATGTTCAGCTTTCAAAAATGCTTTCACATTTCTTCTTCCAACAGATCTTTCTCTTCCTCTGCCAATACCGGAGGGTGGGGTACAGATCAAAGTCAGTTCGGTTTCAAAATTGGTGCTGGTGTTTAACTTTTCTCCAGAGTTAAGTTTATTTGCTAAACTTTGCAAATACGTTTGCATTCATTTACTGCCTTGTTGAAATGTTTTCACGGAAATTGTAGTAGATTGAAATGCGTGCGTGTAGCCTTCGGCCTGCATGTTAAAATGAAGTTTGTGATGTGGCTGAGTATCTGGTTGGTTTTGGATTTGCTGAGCTACCGCACGTTCTAATGCATGAGTGCCTGAAACGCCAACATTATCATCTGGTAAAGGTTGGCGTTTTTCTTTCAAGCGTGCTGTAAACTGTTGTTTCACCACCACATTTTTCTTCCAACATTTGCACAGCCCCATGGTCTGAACTTGAATTCAAAGATTGTCATGGTGATTTGATACGTTTCACAGCCTTCAACAACTCCTCGTCACTTATCTCACTGAGCATTTTCAACTCAATGTCTTCTACAACCTTTAATAATTTTTCATCACTCAACTCTTCACCAATTTTCTTTTTGATGATGTTCTCTAACATGCGTGTTCATAATAAGTCGTGTGTTTAAAATGTACTGTTCTCTGTGCAGATCAAAGGTGAATACTCAGGGGGAATGGAGGGTTTCTTTTGTATTACTTGGCCAAGTTTAAGCAAGGTAGGGCTATATGGACAGGATTGCCAGAATGTTTTCACTTGGAAAAATGGTTGCAAGGGGTTTACATACACACGCATAAATGTACTCACACTCATTCAGATATTAAATCGACAATCATATTATGCACAACAAAATATTTAGCAAAGGGTCCAAACGTGACTGACGCTTCATACAGCTTTCTTGTTCGTTTCTTTATCAAAATAAAACTTACCTTTGAATAGCATGGACCTTTTCTTTAATCGAGTAAAAGAGGCAATATTTTTACCTTTGAATAGCATGGACCTTTGATTAAGCAAAGAGTCCGAACGTGACTGACGCTTCCCACAGCTTTTTTGTTTGTTTCTTCATCAAAATAAAACTTACCTTTGAATAGCATGGACCTTTTCCTAAATTGAGTAAAAGAGGCAATATTGTTACCTTTGAATAGCATGGACTCTTTCTTTAATTGAATAAAAGAGGCTGTATTGATTAAGCAAAGAGTTGTTCGTTCCTTCCTCCATTACAACTTGTTGCTATGTTGAAGAAAAGAATTGTGAAAATGAATGATGCCGGTGAATTTTCAGATGGCAAATATCTTATCGTATGTGTATCATTTTGAAGTAAGTAAAAAAGCACCAAAAAACAAGTTTTGTTATGAGAATTTCAAATATTTCTTAGTTTGTATACTGTAATGCGCTGTTCGTTTCCTCATTAACTGACCTTTGAATAGCATGGACTCTTTCTTTAACTGAGCAATCTTTCTTTAATTGAGCGAAAATTGCTGCATCGATTAAGCAGAGTTGTTCGTCCCTTCATTGTAAAGTGTATTCAAAGAAACTTACCTTTGAATAGCATGGACCTTTTTTTTTATTGAGCAAGAGGCTGTATTGATTAAGCAGCGTTGTTCTTTCCTTCACTGTAAAGTGTATTCAAGGAAACCTACCTTTTAACAGCATGGACCTTCGATCAGGAAAAGAGCCCAAATGTGACTGACGTTCAAGCAGAAGAGACCCTTTGGGACCAAACAGACGCTCACACACATACACATTCACCCATCCACACCCGGAGTGATATTCACAAAACGCTCAAGAAAAAGGCCTTTGGGACCCAACAGACGTTTCCACACACACGGTGTGATATTCACAAATGCTCAAGAAAAGGCCCTTTGAAGGATTCAATCACATTTCGTTGATGTTGCAACGTCCTTCCCTGACTTTTTTAAAATATTGATATATATAAATTTCTTTGCAAAATGATTGGAGCGCAAGCACCTCACGGTAAGTTCATGTCGCACTCGAGTCTTTTCTGTTTTCATAATTGTCAATAAGTGAAGTATGGAAAGTCTCAGTTTATTTCTTTCAGGAACCGAAGATCGAGCCCGCACTATTTGTGTAATTGCCTGTGAGGAAGAAACGCCCTGTTGCCAGCAGGTGATTCACACCTCCCGTTTGATGGACTGGTACCAGTCGCAGCAGCAAAGGCACCTGCGGCCTTCTTGTCCATTCTGCAGAGTAGAATCCCCGATGACATTCTTGGTAGACTTGGCTAACAAGCCTGAAAGAGTTCCGCCACCAGAAAGGAGGTAGTTCAATTGGGTGGCAGGCCATCGCCACAATGCCTATCTCCACTACGCGTGGAATGAAAGAATCCCCGCAAAAAGAGACGCTTTCTTCCTTCTATTTATCCATGAAAGAATGCCGGAGAACGTTATGCTGGTAGAAGCTTATAGTAGAATGTATCTGGTCACGAATCATCGAGATGAGAATCGTAGAGTCTCGAGATTCTTGGCCCATAACAAACGTGAAGCCATTCAAAGGTTTCGATTTGTCTTAGAAAATTTACTGGCCATTCGTTAGGTTTTTTTTTTCTTTTGCCCCTGCCTTTTTCATTGCTTTTTGTAGATTTCACTTAGGTTTTTTTCTTTCACCCTTGCCTTTTTCCTTGCTGTTTGTAAATTTCGCTTAGGTTTTTTCTTTCGCCCTTGCTTTTTGTAATAAACTTCTTGTAATAATAAACTTCTTTGGCAATAATGAACTTTTTGTAATAAACATGTTGAAAGTTTATTTTTTGTGCGAGTTTTTATTGTTCATGTGCTTAAATGGAAAAAAATCTCATTTGGATCAGAACAAATTTTTTTACTGCGCTTTAAGGTTTTTTATTGCGCTCTAGGGTTGAAAAATTCTCTCCTGACTTAAATTTTCCTTCAATTGAAAAAAGTGCGGTTTTTTACGAATAAGATCTTTTAAATCATACTTACATTTTCTGCACATGCGCCTTGTCTGAAAAAGACTCCCACATGGATGACAAAATCCCTCTTAGACATACCGTATTATCTCGATCATGAGGCACACTCGGTTATAAGACGCACCCTGAATTTTTGAACGCGTTTCATTTAAGTTGTTAAACCGAAAATTTCGCCTAAATACCCGGTTATAAGGTGCAACCTCAAGCTTGGGCTTTTTCACTATCTTCACTTTGAAAACAGCGGCGTTTTCAAAGTTTCTAGAAGATCAATGTTAACATACAACACGTGCACGTGAAATACCTTGTCCTTTAACACTGTGCTGTTCGATTTTTTGCGGGTCTCTCAGTTAATAGCAGAATGCTCCGGTTAAAGGTGAAGGAACTCAGCTCCAATCTGGAGTTCAAGGCATCTAGTTGGTACAACAGCTGGAAACGTCGCCACACTGTATCTATGAGAGCAAAAACAACTTTGGCGCAGCGTCTACCAGCAGACATGGAGAAGAAGATCGTCGAATTCCATCGGTTTGTGTTGAGGGCCCAGAGACGTCATGACTACCAGTTAAGCCACACCTCAGACATGGACGAAACTCCCATGTGATTTGAGCTGCCAGCCACAAGAACCCTCGAATTCATGGGCAACCGAACAGTGCCGATCTTGTCGTGCGGTGGAGACAAGCAGAGTTTCACAGTTGTCTTAGCAGTTAGAGCCAATGGATAAAAACTACCGCCGAAAGTCATTTTCAAAGGCGTTCGTCAGCATATATAATCAACCACATAATTGCATATAATTTTCATCCAATGATGATGTTAGTCCCTAGGGAATCGATAACAATATAATTATTTTGAACTGTATCTATTGTTCCATTGTTCTACTTTGTAAATTCGCCAACAACCTGCAACAATTTGAACAATTGCGCTCAAATAATTCAAGTGGTCTAAAAGTCGAACTAAGGTAAACTAAGAAAAATTGCACAATCTATCTCAGTTGCACAGAGTGCATAATATTTGTTAATTGGTTAAAGTAGTTCAAGTGGTCAAACTAGCTGATATGGCTCAACCAGATAAAAAGCATAACTATCGTAATCGGTTCAACTGCACAAACTGCACAATCTAGCTTCAATGGCTCAACTCTGAAGGAGCTAAGATGGTAATACAGCTTAGGGTTAGGATTTCATCGGATTAAAAGCATCACCAGCTTAAATAGCTGAAGTGGCGGAATATTCAAACTAAAAAATTGCAAACGGCGGAAACAGTCAGACGGCACAAAACTCAGAAAATAGCTGAGTTGGTTTAATTGGCTCATATGGACCAAATCCATCAACAACCTAAATTGGGTCAAATGGTTTAACCAATCGAACAAGCAAAAACAGTGATACGCAAAAAAACTGGACAAACTGACTTCTTTGCCACCGAATTACGCTTTTCCTAGCTGTGTCGCAGCAAAGAAGTTTTTTTTTCCTGTTTGCAGCTAACCACGCTGGTTTTAGCTGTATCTCACTAAATACAACGTTTTGGTGACTTTTGTGGCCAAGTTTTGCTTTTGTCAGCTTTTTGGCACCGAAAACTTGTGTTTGTTTGTTTGCAGCTAATTGGGCTGTTCTGGGCTTCATCTCATAAAAAGCACCGTTTTTCTTTTTTTATTGCTAAGCTTCGCTGTTT